AATTGATTCAAGAGGTGTTTTGGAAGTAAATATACCCCAATGCCTACTAAGTTCTGATGGGTAAAATAGAGGCAAACTCTTAGCTGATTTTTATGCTGCTGGCTTGGATTACCCATTGGCGATGGAGCCTTTACTTCATATAGGATATGTGCCAAGGGGGCATACATTTTGGAGTTCCACTTCAGAGCAAAAAGTGTGGATGCCAGCAGAACATCTATGAAGAGAATAGGCAGTTGGAATAATTGTAGCTTTGATGATAAATTTGAACTTGATCGTTAGCTTTTGAAATTATGGTATATTGGTGAAGCCATAGAAACAGATGTGTCCCCAGCAGGAGTGACAGAAGGGCAGAAAACAGCATTGGTAAGCACTTCCATTTGAACAATACGTGGAAGAAAAACAAGCCTGTAAAGATATTGAGAAGAAACAGCTGAACAAGCAAACAGGAAGGAGGGTGTATTAGTTTGCTGGTGCTCGATAGGCCTTACTTTAAATCCGGGTTCAGTTCCCATCTAGACATGTGTCCTTTGCCAAGTACTTGAGTACTTCACCTCTCTAACCCTCAAATTCTTTTACTTGGAAAGTGAAGGTTAAAATATTATAGTACTGCAAGGATGTGTCCCAAAAGGTGGACAGTGATTATCTCTTCGTGATAAGTTAAGGGTTTTTTTTTATTTTCCACCTTTGGCTTGTTCGTATTTCAGACATTTTACTCTACTAAAAGTAATCTATAAATTACTATTGTAATTTTCTTTAAAGTTATTTTTTCCAAAGGAGCTATTCATGCTTTCTGTAAACATGTGATACACTTGCAGGCTCTATTAATATCAGGAAGAATTGCAAACAACAGAATGGATTAAGAAAATAGATATTTTTCATTCTATTCAAGATAAGAAATATACATTGTAAGGTGCAGAGTGGAGTTCAAAGTTGACAAAGGAATAATCTGTGTTTTCAAGGATTTTGTCATTGGTGAGGTAGAATTCCAAAAAATAAGTGCCTAACTATAATGCATTTCATGTACCCATGAAGCAGACATAAAAAAAGAAAAGAAAAAAGAAAAAAAGATAATGCTCCTTAAGTTCTCCCTGCCAGAGAAGAGATCATATTATCACAAAATGTTTCCCAGTGGGACTGGCATCACCCATGACCTTAAAAGGGTGGGCGGGTGACCCTTACAAGTTCACTATTGTCTCAGTGCTTAATGGTCTGCTTCACAATAGAAGGAAAATCGGGCAAGAGATAAGAGCCCAGAATGCAGAGTGATTGATTTACATGGAGAGGAATCTCCCTGTCAACTGCTTTAGCCACTTGGGTTGACTAAAGTAACCTCAACAGCTGCATGTCAACAAGTTCAGGGGAGTAGAAAATTCTTGCTTCATCACAACTGGGAAATGCAGGGCTCACATTAACCACATTTTGATTCAGTCCAATTGTTTTATGAGTGTGTGTTTAGTGATTGTAAATGAAGATATTCAAGCTGTTTAACTTTGGTTCAGTTTGGTTTTTATCTTTGTTCAACCTGGTAAGGGCTCAAACATTACCTTCCTTGTTTTTTAAGTCCCGAGTTAAGCTTTTGTTTGTTTGTTTCCATTTGCAAGTGGCCCGATTTTTTGCATATGCATATTAACTGCCTAGGTTATATACAGAAAATTATATTTAGTCAAATATACAATGATGTGTGACACTATGTCTTGATCAAGGATGTTAAATTTCTCTCTCAATGAGAATCCAGAAAGTAAGGTGATCTTGACAAATTTTCAAGATTGTCAAGTTGTCAAAGGTGTGCTTACATGCCTGATTTCATTATGATGGTTGCTAAAAGAGAAGTTTGCACTTGGCAATGTTGAATTCAGACTATCAATTTCGCAGGATATTGAGGATCAAATCAGAAATGTTAATGGCACAGGAGGGTGGGGGCATATGTGGGGTGGAGATTGGGATGGAAAAGGGGTGATGAGGACAATTATGTGATACCATAATCAATAATAATAATAAAAAGAAATGTTAATGGCAAAGGAAACTGAAATCAGCATTAGTGATACATGATGACAGGGCCCACCAGTTAAATATTCCACCATGGAATGAAATACCTCAAACCTCGTCTCTAACAATGTAAACATCTGTCTTTGCAATAAGTATAGAAAATAAAGTTTTTAGAATCAATTGGGTATTTATTTGCCTCAGGGTGTTTTGGGGAGAAAGGAAACAAATGTATGCTATGTGGAGGAACTTGGGCAAATTTAGAAAAAGGAAGAAAAAAAAACAAGGAAACTTACACAGTTCTCTATTTTTAAGAAAAGGAAGTAGTTAGTGACATCACCCTCAGCTAAAATCTAACTTGTTTATCTCATTTTATTAGGTAATACATTGTCCTCTTTAGAATCATGAAATAACTAGGAGGATTAAGCGTAGCTCCCTTCTGAATCTTTATTATCTCCTTTGCTCATTCATCCAACAAAAATGTATTGAACACCTATTTGTGCTAGGTGCTGGGGGTACAATAATGAGGGGAGGGAAACTGATCTTTGTCCTCAAAAAATTTGGATTTAAGTCAGGGAGAGGAATAGAAGTTACAGGATGATAAAATTATAGCCATGGTAAGTGTTAAAAAAGAGAGGCATTTGGTGCCAGGAGAACCTATCGTGAAAGGGGGGCCAGGGAAAGCCTGTCCATTACAGAAGTTTTGATCAGAAGTTGGCTGGGTGAAGAAGAAAGGAAGGTCAGAGGAAGCGAAGTGCGTCCAGGGACGGGCCCTGTGTGGGAAGAACAAAGGGTATTTTCTAGGCCTGTAGAGAAGGCCCTCAGCTGGAGAGGAGGGAAAGTCCAATGGAAAGTTATAAGAGAGAGAAGGGGGCTTGAAGGCATGCAAAGGGTACGGTTCCTACCCTCCATCTCAAGAGCAGTGAGAACCATTGCATGATTTTCATCAGAAGGTGGGCATGCTCCGGTTTGCACTTTGAAACACCAACTTCAGGTCTAGTTTGAGAAACTGAGTAAAAGGGCTCAGAATGGCCCTACAGAGGGTGAGTGGCTAGGGGACTTGTGCTCAAAAGATGGCAATGGGAGAGGCCAGGTGGCTGTGGAGAAGGAAATGGGGAGAAGCAGATTTGAACTCAAGTTTTCTGCATCTTCAAGTGGCTTCAATTTTTTTTTTAAATATATTTTATTGATTTTTTACAGAGAGGAAGGGAAAGAGATAGAGAGCTAGAAACGTCGATGAGAGAGAAACACTGACCAGCTGCCTCTTGCACACCCCCCACCAGGGATGTGCCCGCAACCAACGTACATGCCCTTGACCGGAATCGAACTCGGGACCTTTCAGTCCGCAGACGGACGCTCTACCACTGAGCCAAACCGGTTTTGGCAAAGTGGCTCCAATTTTGCCAGTGGCCTTGGTAGGCAAGGAGATACTAAGTCCTCCACATTTCCCTGCCCTTCCTGCCCCCTAACCCTCAGACCTGGGAAAGTGGCATTTATCTAAAAGACACAATCAGAGGCAGCTTCGGTGCTGGCTAGAACCATGGTGGCAAGACTTAGGGTGTCCGGATCCAGCAAATGAACCCAGGGATCGACAGGGAAGGTTTCGGGAGTTGGGGTTACAGGGAAGGCCATTGCCTTGATGCATTTCCGGTAAGCCTGGCCACCTTGCCTCTGTGCGAACAATCTTTGTCTCAGATAAAGGAGCTAGTTGTTGAACCTGCTGGAGGAGGCCCTGGCCAGAGGGTTATATGGAATCCAAGCCTCTGGAGCTATTAGTAGGGTGGGCCTTTAATTCGCTGTCCAAGTGAGACACATGCAAAAGAGAATGTGTTTTTGGTTGGGTAATGATTAACTTCAAAACACACGTACACCATGCCGGGACCGGTTTGGCTCAATGGATAGAGCGTCGGCTTGGGGACTGAAGGGTCCCGGGTTCGATTCCGGTCAAGGGCATGTACCTTGGTTGCGGGCATATCCCCAGTAGGGGGTGTGCAAGAGGCAGCTGATCGATGACTCTCTCTCATCGATGTTTCTAACTCTCTATCTCTCTCCCTTCCTCTCTGTACAAAATCAATAAAATATATTTAAAAAAAAAAAAAAAAAAAAAAAAAAACACACACGTACACCAGAAGTGTTTGGGGGCACACCTGGTCCCCCTATCAAGAAGAGGAAGTGAAAAGTTTCTCTTGTTCTGCTCCCACGAATTCACCTGCTGCAGAGCTGAGGCTATGTCTTCTCTCTCATCGCTGGCACTATTGGAATGCACACCCGGGCTCTCCAGCTGACCGTCAGGCCACTTTGGTTTTAATTTTTTTTTTTTTTTTTTTTTTTTTTTTTGCCACACAGGATACACTTTCCCGCCATTATAACTCTGTGATGACTGATCATGTACAATTCTTCACTGAATGACACCCCCTCTACTCCCCCGTAAGAGTCATGGGAGCCACCACCCAGGAGCTCATCAGAAATGCCCCAGCCTAGAGGTGCTGAAGCAGAATCTGCATTCTCGCAGGAGTCTCAGGTGATCCATAGGCACAGTATATGAGAAAAACAAACAAACAAAACAAAACAAAACAAAAACTTCTCAACTTCCACCTACACTGCCTACATAACTGAAACACAAGTTTCACCAGGCAATACTTTGCCGATTTTAACAGGAAAAAAAAAAAAAAAAGTGCTCCAACTCCTTTGGATTTCAACATCCACCTCTGGGTTGCAACTTGCAGTTTGCAAACACAGCTCTCAAGCAAGCACCTTGGAACCATCCTGAGAAGTTGGGGGGAGGGGGAAGGGGAAGGTGCTTGGTGGGGGTGCTTTGCAAAGTACCTACACTTCCTCCGTGCAGTTACTTGGTGAAACGTGTGCGCTTAGTCACCGCAGAGTCAATCCTAGGAGCAGGGACTCCCGAGGGCGGCCGGGGGCAGCTAAAAGTTGGCCTGAGCCCTGGGAGGGGCTGGTCTCCGGGACGTGATTGGCAGCTCGAGAGAGCGAGCCGGGGCTGGGAGCGGAGCGGGGAGAAGGCTCCGGGCGGCGGGAGGTCCTGCCCAGCTGTTGGCGAGGAGTTTCCTGTTCCCCCCGCGGCGCCGGGTGAAGCGGAGTGAGTCACTCGCGCGCCCGGCCGGACTACACGCCCGCGCGCGCACACGCCCGGGACGGGACGGGACGGGACCGGGGCAGGAGCGGGCCTCCTGCGCTGCTCCCCTCGGCCGCCGGGGGCCTCCCCGCGCCTCGCCGGCCTCCAGCCCCCTCCTCCTCGCCGCTGCCCAGCCGGCGCCACATCTGGCCCGCACATCTGCCCGGCCGGCCCAGGCGCGGGGTCCCGGAGAGGGCGCGGCGCGGAGGCACAGCCAGGGGTCCGGGGAGGCGCTGGGGCTCCGGTCTATGACGATCGGCGGGGGGCTGCCATGGGTCGGGGGCTGCTCCGGGGCCTGTGGCCGCTGCACATCGTCCTGTGGACGCGCATCGCCAGCACGATCCCTCCGCACGTCCAGAAGTCGGGTGAGTGGCCCGCAGCCAGGGCTTGGCGGGGCGCCTGGGGTCCCCCCCACCAACCCAGGTCTCCCCGCCTCTGCGCTGCGCTTGACAGGCTGGTCCCTGGGACGCAGCGAGCGGCAGAAACGGGAACCTTTCCCCCTGGGGCATCGCGCACCCCGATCCCCTTAGCCACGGGCGTGGGTGAGCCGTGCTTTCCAAAGAGAAGGGAAGTTCAAGTTTGCAGGGGGCGCGGGGCGCGCTGGGCCCCCTTTGTGCGGGCAGGAAAGGCGTTGAGTGTCGGCTGCGTTCGAGGCGCGCCCCAGCCCCCGGAAAGGGAAGTTTGAGAAGTTGGTGATCTGGAGGAGGCAGGGAAACCGCGGCCTGGAGGCCGCCAGAGCGCTTAGCACACCTGGGGCTCCCGTGGCCCTTTGGCGATGCTGCGTGCCTACCCAGGGCTTGCCGGGCCACCCCCCTACAGGACCGGTTATTATATCCTTAGCCCCTGGGAAGGGCCACACACTCCCCCCAGACCGGCTTGTTGGCCCAGAGTTACTGGGAGGTTAAAACTCTCAAGAAAAAAAAGAGGCGATCTGCAAAGGAAAGTTATCTGACTCCAAGGAAGGCTTGGCTGGCCTGGATGCTTCAGGGGCTGGGGATGGTCAGGTGGAGGCGGAGAATTACTGACCTATTGACCCAGGGCCTGCTAGGTGCTCAGTGCCTGAGGGGTTGCCTGCAGCAAGACTCTATCTTCTGGGGAGTTGATGGTTCTCTGCAATTATCTGGGTGGAAACGGAAAGGTTAAATGAAAATGGTAAACTGCAGCCCAACAGATCTCTATCTCTAGAGGTTTCTCTTTTGGGGGAGGGGAATGAATGAACTGAAGACTTAAAGATGTGTTTTGGAAAGTACCTAGCCCCTGACACTTTAAAAATTTGTTTGTTTTTCAGCTAGGATCCATATAGCAGAGTATCTACAACTGTGGTCTGGGTAGCTTAGTATTTGGACCTTGCAGGGCTCAGTTTTTCTCATCTGTAAAATGGCATGGTTAGATCTGGATACTTTTCCATTCCCTCATCTGTCCCTCTCCTCCCCCCTGCGGTGACTTGGAGATGCCCTGTGTAGATTTGGGAAGGAATGGAGAGGGTTTGACAGTCCACACCAGCACTCTAAGGCAGAAGTTAGCTTTATCTGTAGGTATGTCTGGAAGAAATATGCACCAGGTTCTAACTGGTGCATTCCAGACTGTTGGCAGGGGACTGAGAATTTCATATAGAAGGTTGACATGGAGATGGGAGTTGTTAATGGAATGAGGAAGAAGCATTATTTTATACAAAAGTTCCTAACACAAATGTGAGTTCTAGGGTTAAATTAAATCCCGGTGTTTCATTCTTGGATGTTGTCCTACATTTCAGTACCAGAATGCTCAATATGTTCAACTGTCTCTGATTATACCCCAGACTCTTAAAAACTGAGTTATAGCTAACTAATAAATATTTTAAATGCATCCTTAATTTTCTCTGTACGTGCAAAATCATTAAAATTTTTGTTTCAGATTACGAAAGAAGGAAATTTGTGGGCTCTGATTTGTTAGGTTTTGTTTACAAGTTTAAGATTTATGATTACAAATTCCAGACTCAGTAGTTCATGAGTCAGTTTCATTTCATCTATGTACACACTTTTAAACAATTAAAAGCCTAGTGGCTTTTTATTTGGGCTTTTAAACAGTTTTACAAACCCCACAGATTTCATATCTTTATGGAATTAAAGTTTCAAAATGGTTGAACTAAGGAATCATTTTGAATGAGTATTCATTTGAAATTAAATTTTTGAAGCTAGTTGAAGGTTGAAAGTAACGATAGTGAAGATGAGAAAACTAATTTCATGATTACATTTTCATTTTCCAGATAAGTAAATGGTTTCAGGATTTTCCAACATAATTGGTCAACTGTCAAAACTTTTTTCAAGATATCTTAATTCATGATAAGATATGAGGAAATGAGATTATTTACCGCATCTTATCAGGACACACACACACACACACACCCACACCCATGTTTTGTTCAGCAGATTGATAAGTGAGCAAAGGATTGCACTATAAGAAAAAATTTCACTAAGAAATATATTTAACTTAAAAAAACTTTTTAAATTAATAGATTCATTTTTCCCTAAATGCTCAGCATTAAGTAATTACTCTTTTGAGGGAAAACTTTACATGTTGGGAAACTCTTCCAATCTGAAAAATGTGACTTCCACATTTCAAATACCTAACAAGAGTTGCTTGCTACTGACTAAATGTTGGTAAAAGTGTCATACTAATCAACTGTTTTCCTAAGGTCACTTTGATGATGTGCTGGTTTGGTCAGAGTCAGAAAGCAGTAGGCCCAGAATGTGATCTTAGGTCTCATTGCTTTTGTTACCAGATAGTACATTTCCTTTTCTAAGTCACTTCCTTTAGCAATATCTTATTTTTTTTAACCAGTTATGATTTATGCAGAACACTCATCACATTCTGGATTCCTCGACTTAAATATATATATATATATTTTATATATATACATATATATATATGTATGTATATATTATTGGCTTTTTACAGAGAGGAAGGGAGAGCAAGTTAGAAACATCAATGAGAGAGAAGCATCAGCTGCCTCCTGCACACCCCCCACTGGGGATGTGCCTACAACCAAGGTACCTGCCCTTGACAGGAATGGAACCTGGGACCTTTCAGTCAGCAGGCCGATGCTCTATACACTGAGCCAAACCTGTTTCAGCTCCTCACCTTTTTATAGAGATGGCACCCCACGGTGATGCGTCCTCATTGTCCCCTGTGTAGTCCGCATACATGCTACATGTTTTCCACTCCAGTTTACCAATCCTTGGTTATCAACCCAACTTTTAAAGGTTTTCTTTATCCTTTGGCCCTATTTTTTTTTTTTTAAACAAAGAATGACACTTCCTGGGGCTCTTGTAAAAAAAAAGTGGCTATTACTCATTCTTCCTTCTCAACAGTATTTATAGCGAGTGCCTCCTTGTGCCAGGCAAGGGGCTCAGACAGGAGACAGCCACTGAGTAAGAGGCATGTTCTTCGCCCTCATGGAGTTTAACATGTGGCAGCCTGTTGAAGGCGAAGAGAACATCCACATTTTAATCCTGTACATTTGGAAGCATTAGGGAGCCCTGGCAGTTTATTTTCCAGACCCCTTTGTCCAAAGCCCACTTCCTTGTTGAATGCTAGGGGGTGGGTATTTTTCCTTCTCAGACTCACTGAACATTTTTTTCATTGATCTATTCTTTTCCACACAGGCCTTGTTTCAGGTCCACAACTGGGCTACCTCAGTTCTTCAGTCTGTAGCCAGCATGAGGGACCCATATGCATGTGCCCATCCAGTCTTTCTTCCAGCTTAGACTTGCAGGTAGAAGAGTAAAGGGTACAAGCTTTGGAATCAGGCTATCCTGGGTTTCAAACCCACCTCCCATTTACTATCTGTGCAATGATGTTACTTCTCTCACCGTCATTGTCATTATTTGTAAAATGGGGTTTATGGTGTTCTGCGGAAGATTCAATAAAATATTATATTCTAAAGTGCTTAACATAGTGCCTGCAACATAGTAAATGCTCACTAAATACCAGCTTCTATTCTTCCTATTAACACGGGAATCTGGCCTAACATGGCCCTCAGTGATCTGGTTCCCCTCTGATTCTGCAGCTAACATCCCGCCAAGACTCACATTTTCCCAGTCCCCTCTTTATCACCCACCGTGCACACACATGCTGTGAGCAGTGCGGGCACCTGTGCCTTTGCCGAGGGTGCTGTCTGGAATACCTGTACCTTGGATAATTTTCACTTGTCTTTTAAGACTTAACTCAAATGTCATTTCTTTTTAAGGAAACCTGCTTTGAATGCCTCTGGGTGAGCTGATACATTCTCTCCTGGGGCTAGGCCTATTTTCTTCATCTTTTTTTTTTTTTTTTTTTTTTTTAAGCTTGTAACAACTGTTAACAATAATAAGCCAAAATTATATCTTTTTTTATTAATATATTTTATTGATATTTTACAGAGTGGAGGAAGGGAGAGAGATAGGGAGCTAGAAATGTCGATGAGAGAGAAACATCGACCAGTTGCCTCTTGCACACCCTGCACCAGGGATGTGCCCGCAACCAATGTACATGCCCTTGACCGGAATCGAACCTGGGACCTTTCAGTCTGCATACCAACGCTCTACCACTGAGCCAAACCAGTTTCGGCCAAAATTATATCTTTATGTGATCACCTTGCCCATCAGGCCTTTAATTCTCCCAAAGGTAAGGGGTGTGGCTTATTCATTCCTCTATCTCCAGGTCTCCTGCAGTACATACTTGGTGCATCACTTACTATCCAGGAAACGCTGGTCTCTCCTTCATCCCCCTGGACAAAGTGCAGCCGAGTCAAGTGTTTGACCAACCAGGCCGTCACTCTTTATTGGGAGTTTGGTCTATAGCAGGGGTGGGCAACTATTTTACTGCCCAGGGCCATTTGGATAATTATAGCATCATTTGAGGGCCATTCAGAAGTATCAACTTAAAATTAGCCTGCTGTATTTGGTCAGACATTTAATTAATTCACCCTTAATCCCTTGGCAGAACCAGATCCAATGATTTTCCAGGCCTTATATGGCCCGTAAGCCGGATATTCCCCTCCTCTGGTCTATGGGTTCTTTTATTCTGATGAACTATGGAAAAGAGTGCTGAAATCATAATTTAGTTTCTAAGTTCCTTTTTTTTTTAAATCAGGGTTTTATGTTTTGCTTTATAAGTAGTTGAGCAGAGTTGGTCTAAGGCAGTGGTAGGCAAACTGTGGCTCTCGAGCCACATGCGGCTCTTTGGCCCCTTCAGTTTTTAGCAAAGGCCAGCTTAGGAGTACCCTAATTAAGTTAATAACAATGTACCTACCTAGATAGTTTAATTTAAAAATATTTGGCTCTCCAAAGAAATTTCCATCGTTGAACTGTTGGCATTTGACTCTGTTGACTAATGAGTTTGCCGA